TAATTTATCAAACTGCTGAAAAATAGCCGGCCCTTTACATACTTTTCACTTTTCATGTAGTTCTCCCAAAAACCCAAGAGAGGGAGGTATCTATTAGCCTTATCTTAAGAAAAAGAAAACCAGGGTTTAGGGAAAATAAGCAACTTACCCAAGATCAGACAGTCATATTTGAACCTGGGGTAGTTCACCTCCAGAGTCTGTGCCCTTTCTACATCATCTGTATCTTGAAATCCCTTTGCTTTGACCTGCCAAGTAGCTAAAACAGGAGGCGATTGGGGTTTGACAAAAGGATTCTTTACTTTCAAAGAGGATTCGCAACAGGGTTCCTTGAAATAGCCAACTCCCCTATTGTGCTGAAAAAATAATTCCAGCTACAAAATTTCTATTTACAAAAAACATTTCTGCACCACCTCTACTGTGGTAAAGCAGAGCAGCATTCTAACATATTCGTTTTCTGTTTTTAATGGAAGCACTGAAATTGCAGGACTGATGAGTGTCTTGAGATGTTGTAAATTCAGTGATTAGTCTAATGTCCAGGACACAGTAAACACTCCAGACTGTTATCAACTATCATCATTTTTTTTCAGATGTCTCAAAATGCAGACAGTGAGAGATTGCAAAAATAGCCAAAAATTCCATTCCTTCCATCAAGAAATGAAATTAATTTCATCTCCCTTTGACTCTAGATTAACCATGGGATTTTCTTTGCCCAACTGGACATTAACAAATGTGATGCAATCTGAGGCTTGAAAAGTATTAGTATTGCAAGTTGCCACCTACAAAAGTTGGAACCCAGAGACCATGGTATAATTCTGTCCAAGCCAGACTGTTGGAAGGTTAAAGGTCATGTGGAAGAAAATCAAAGCACTCAACCAACAGGCATCCAGACCCTGGCTGCCAACCTGCCAACCCCTCTCATGAGAGGGACCCCATTCCAGGCCATCCCTGGGACCTACCAGCTGTCATTGGATACAGAAAGTGGTCAGTCCTGGTCATCTGAGCCAGCCCAGGCCAGAAGAATTTGGAGGAATCACAGAATTATATACTAAATGAAATGGGCTTTGTTTTTAGCCACAAAGTTATGGGATGATTTTCTTACACAATAAAAATTTTCCAACACATAGTCCTAAGTCATAGGAAAAAATAGAAAAGAAAACCACAAAATGGCAAGAAGCAGAAAGTAGTAAAGAGAGAGAAAAAGGTGCCCAAAGTATGAAGTGAGTCCCTGAGAAGTAAGGGACTCAAAAAACCATGGTTAGCATTCCATTCTACTCTCTCCCAGTTCACTGATCTTTCAACAACACCCATTTCTTTCTCTGAATTTTCAAGGCTAACTGGACCAATTCCTTGTTCCCATTGTAGTCGCCAGCCCTGGGGGAAGAAAGTCAATTGGAGTTTTAAGTTAATAATAAATGAAGAATTTTTCCAGGGTGCTTCTTCATTGCTCCTTCTCTCTTCAGATCTTTTGCAGGTTACTCAAGTCACCTAGCAAACTAGGGGGAAATGTGGATAAAAGGACAGACAGAAGCTACAGTAATGTTGTATGACTAGAGGGTGTTTTTCACCTTCAAAGCACATTGACCATAAATTATAGGATATACTTTCACAGTTCACATTTCTATATAATGTCAACTTTTGAGTTTCCTAGCAAAGGAGAGTATGTTACCATTTAAAAAAAAAAATGTTGAAAGTATAACACCAGAGTGATGAATGTTGAGTTGCTCTCAGCATGGAGGGGATGGGAAAGGATTCCTCTGAAGATATTAGTTTTACTGGTCAGAGGTGAAGGTAAGCACTGTACCTCCAACATGAATAACAAGGCCAAGGCTACTCCAATAAAGGGTGAGGCACTGGCCTAACCCCACCCTCAACCACAAGAATCTGTATAATCTCAAAAATAATCAATAAGGTTTACATTCAGGTTCAAACAATATAATTCAGATCCCCCCTCCAGAAGTCACCTTGTAAAGGGGAGAAATGGAACCATGACTAATATTCAGTGGGTACACACCATTACAAGCAATTCAAACATTTAAATACCTCAATATTTTCCATTTCATCTAGTCAACAGTAAAACTGCCATAAATGGTAGGATTATTTAAAAATGCAAATTCTAGCACGTGTGGTTTATCTCAGAAACCCACACATTGCTGCAATGTCAAGAGTTTTTCTATTTTGGATACCACACCTACTGTAGTCTACCATTACTTATTAATAAACTGAGAATTTTCCTTCCTGCTCAGAAACCTTTGGGTGGGGGAGAGAGAGGCCACGCAGCCCAGCTGGGGAGAATCTATTTATATCCACCAGAAGAAACACACAACCACACTGGGCTCAGGTCGTGACTAAGAATGGTCAGAGCCCTTGAACTAGACAGATGTCAGAGCAGCAACCTCAGGTGAGCTCAAGAGCTCTGCTCTATTTGAGAGCCCATCCCCAGTGGGGAGCAGTCATCCCCAACTTCACACACAAGGCTTGAAGGGAACTCTGCCCAGTGATCCCAGCAAGTGACTTATGAGCCCATGGGGCTCCTCAAATGACCTCTGAGCAGAGGCACCTCCCACCATCAATGAGGTTTATTCTCAGGTCCAACAACGTAATTCAGAGATCCCCTCCAAGTCACCTTGTGGAGATGGGGAGAAATGGAGCCACAGTTAATATTCAGTGGGTGTGCACCATTACATGCATTTAAATACCAACATTTAAATACCCCCACATTGTCTAGTGAACAGTAAAATTTCCACACCCAGGCTTCCTCACAGAGGGCAGACTGAGCGCACCCAAGCAGCTTGTCAATAATCAAAGTTGGTCTTTCCCTTTTGTCCATGTCCCTTCTTCTTGTCCCTCCCCTGTGCCTTTGTTCTGTCATGGAGATGCCTCCATGAGACAGGCACACCAAGGGCTGAGGTCCTGGATCCTGCAACCAGAAAGAGCCAATTTGCCACCTTGCCTTCTACCTTTTCTCTGTGCCTGGCCCTTCAGACCCCTGCCCCAGGGGCATAGCCTGCATGGAACCTGCACACAAGCTGACTGCAGAGAAGGTAGAAGGGAACAAAAGGAGAGGGCCTCCCTGGTGGCGCAAGGGATTAAGACGCAATCTATGAAGCTGTCCGCAGCCTCTGCAGCACGAGTTTGATCCACAGCCAGGGAGGAGACCCACATGGTGCAGCAGACCTCTCCTGCCTCACACACTGCTCTCCTCAGCAGTGTTTTTCAGTCAATCTGCCTGGTTCTGCTCCCCACTCTGTCGCTGGTGAATCCTCTCACCCACCGCAACTCTGGCCTACACCCCCAGCTCTTGTACACATAAACAAATCCTTTTTAAAAATCATGAAAATAGGGCCTCCCCGCTGGCGCAGTGGTTGAGTGCTGGGTTGCAAAGCTGCCCACAGCCTCTGCTGCGCCAGTTCGATCCCCGGCTGCTCCCCGGCCACCAGAGGAGGGTCCCACATGGCGCGCAGACCTCTCCTGCCGCCCGCTGCTCCCCTCAGCAGTGTACTTCGGTCCTTCTGCCTGCTCTGCTCCCCGCTCTGGCTCTGGTGAATTCTCTCACCCTCCCGCGCTTCTGACTGTACCCAGTGCTTGTATAAATAAATAAATAAATCTTTGAAAATAAATAAATAATAAAAATCATGAAAACAAAATTAAAGACATTTAGTTTTGTCCTATTATCAAGTTCTAAATCTAGCATCATTTTTCCTGGAGTTATTGCTGTAATGAGAAATCTTTGCTCTCACCAGTTTTCAAGAGAAATAGAAAGAACAGACCCTAAAACCAGATGTTCTGGGGCGGGTGGGGGGGGCACGAGTTACCTTTTAATGACACATACAACAGATGTATTGTTTCTTGGTCCAGTTAAAAGTACCATTTGAATTGAACGACTTCAGAGATTTATTGGTACCAATACAAACTAGAAGTCACCACTGGAGTTGACACAATTCAAGAGAATAAGTGAAAGGGTCATTGTTAAGGGAACTATTTCAATATCCCCTGGGAAAAAGAGCTTGTGAAAGGGGATAATCAATGTGTGAGAACTTCAATGGGAATTAGAAATTTGAAATTATTTACATGCTATGTATTTTTTTTGTGTGGGACCCTCGCCGGTGGCCGGGCATCGAACTGCTGCGCCACCAGGGGAGGCCCTACATGCTATGTATTTTTTTTTAATAATAAATTTTATTTTTATATTCCCCATACAATTGCAACCCCCCCATTCTGACCCCAATCCCTCCCCTCCCGGCCCCCACCCCCCAAAAAGTGTCTCTGGTTCATAGTTTTTTGTTGTTTTTGATTTTCACTTTCTTATAGTTATTCATTTTCCTGGTCCCTTATTTAAGTTTTCTAGATTCCTGCTATGAGTGAGACCATCCGGTATTTTTCTTTTTCTTTCTGGCTTATTTCGCTGAGCATGATCCCTTCCAGCGCCATCCATGCTGCTGCAAATTGCAAGTGTTTATCTTTTTTGAATGCTGAATAATATTCCATGGTGTAGATGTACCACATCTTCTTGATCCAGTCATCTATTTTTTGGCATTTGGGCTGTTTCCAAAGCTTAGCTATTGTAAACAGTGCTGCTATAAACATAGAGCTTCCATATGATCCAGCAATTCCACTCCTAGGTATTTACCCAAAGGACACAGAAACATCAATTCCAAAAAACACATGCTATGTATTTTTAAGAAGACAACATAGCTTTCATATCTTCTAAGTAATCTAGTCACTGTTAGTACCTCTGGGATGGTGTCAGGAGCATCCTGACAAACTAGTAGATGCAAATACTTGCATGGCTTTGCAAATAATAAAAATAATAGGTGAATGATAAGTATTTGAATAATCATGGAATGTTCTATTTTAAATACCCACAGCAGAAATCCCCCAAGAGTAGAAAGAGATACCTCTGTCTAGAGAAATAAATAAAATTCCATTCAGTTCACTCTGGGTGGTGACATTTTAGTTTAGAAATAGGGTGTGAATGTAATAATATATAATATCAAACATACCTTCAAAATCCCTGGCTGCCAATGTGTGTTATTCCTACTAGCTTCCACCTTATTGCCAGTGTCCAGATTAGGCAGCAGGGCATATCTCAAAGATACCACTTGTGAAGTGCCATAAAATGCACAGGCCTTGTTTCTGCTCCAGCCTTTCTTATCTGTTGGAATAAGAAGGAAATAGCAATGTGGAGGCACAGAGAAGGCAAGCATTTAACCTCATTATCAGCTCCTGAAGTTTATAGTCACAGGGCCATGGACCACACTACCCACTCGTTGAAATGTCCTCCTCTGTGACATTTTCACAGAGTGAGAATTGGATTGCCCCCTGGCTTACTGTCTGCATCTGGGCCAGTTTCTGAAGTAGCAGCAGTAAAAGCCCAGTTTCCCCAAATCTGTCTAGAAAATTGTCCCTAACAGATTTATGAAGACCTCTAGAAACATAGACCAACTATATGCATCTTTTTCAACACTAAATTGGTATTTCTTCTATTTTATTTTCTTTCTTTTACATCATTTTTCATTTTTGTACAATGCATGCATTTTCATCTTGGTTATTGTCCCTGTAAAATTCCCACCACCCTTGTTTTTATCCTACTCCCCTCTCCCCTAAATTGGCATTTCTAATAAAAGTATTTCATAACAAGAGATGCTGTCAATTCCTCCTGCTGACATACGTGAACAAGTTAAGAACCATTTTGCTCTCCCCCAAACAGCTCACTCAGTAGTTCTGACTTCCGAAAGTTGTAAGCTTCTCACTCTTCTTACCTGAGCATAATTTAAAAAGCTGTCAAGCCTAATGAAGCTATCATAGTGGACAATTATTTAAGAGAAGTTGGGTGAAATTAGGACAGAGAGATGGCAGGCTCGGTGGTCAGAAATCTCATTAGAATTTCTCCTGCCTAATTCCATGCAGAAGTTTCCCTGCAGCAAACTTTATTGATAAGTCAATCAAGGGAAAGGCCACTGCTGGACCACAGTCAAAATATCCCTCTTTGCCCCATGCTTGAGAAGTCCCCAGGGGATGTCAGGCAAAACAGACACAGGCAGAGATCAGGCGTGATGAATGTAACCTGTGGGCCCTACTTCCCTTTATAGCCTCACAAAGCCCTCTGACTTTATTCCTGCTGAGCTCTCTACAGTGGAAATTGTAAGATTTAGGACACGGATATTAAGCTTGTGACAATAAAGTCTCCAGGGACGATGACCTGCATCATTAGAGTAACACCAGCTACTATAACAATCAGACTAAAAATAAATAATAGAAGCACCACGAAAGTTTATTCTGTGTTCACAACAGTTCTTGCCAGACTACCAATTATCCCACATGGATGTTTGGGGAGACAGTGATGATGGATCTTCAACACACAACTTCCCATCACCACAAAGACCATCTTGACACCACACAGGTGGCACAGGTGAAGAGCGTGGAGGAACCTGGATGGGAGGTTTTATGAGCCATCCCTGGAAGTGGTGACCTTCACTGACCCCCCAGTCCCTTGTCTAGAATATAGTCACATGACCACGTTGAACTGCAGGGAAGGCTGGGAAAGGTAGTCTAGTTCTGTGTGTAGGAAGGAGAAAAATTATTTTCATACAGTCAAGGCCTTTGGCACAATGAGCAGCTCAAAACTTCCTAACATTCTTCTTTGAATTTTTGGTACATCCTTAAAAGGAAAGAAAGTCCTAGACCAACACCTCAGAATCTATTGTCATATAACATTATGTCTCCATAGGAGCAGGACCTATGGAGCTTTCAATCTACCTTGGCATCACTCAGCTGATTGTCTCTTAAAGTCTATTAGCAACGGGCTCAGAAATTCAAGTTTTCTCTTGGGTCCACAGACAAATAATAGAGAAATGTTGAGGTGTTTTTCATAAGAAATGGAAATGTGTTACAAAAATGCACATTTTGAAGCCTAACAATACTGAAAAATAAAGAGCAAGAACAGCAAATGGCATGGTTCAAATATAATCATAACAGTAGTAGTAGTAGACTTATCCATTGGGGAAAATAGAAAAACCTGCTGTAAGTATTTCATGATATAAGGTGGAGAGGCTGAAATATTTTTCCCACTTAGACCCCATAGATTTTTTTCCTTTTTTAATTTGCAACATGGTATAGTGAGAGGAGCTTAGGTTCTGGCAAACAGACTAAGCTCTCCTCAATTATTGGCTGTGTGACTTCAGCCTACCCATCTGTAGATATAGGAATAAACTTTAGACAAATATGATGTTACAAAGTGCCCAACTGGCATCAGTCCCATTGTAGAACTGACAGCTGGTGAAATTAGTGGTGGACATGGAGAAACAGAAATGGCTGTGGCACAAGTCCAATGGCCCCTTTGGACTTAGAGAAGAATTAGAGGTGGGGGGTGAAATAACGCAAACTAAACCTAAGCCAAGGGACTGAGAGAAAATAAGGTATGATGAAAGGCTCTCTCCTAACCCCTTCTACAACTGGTAAATTCCTATTTTTTTTCCTTGAAAGTGACTCAGGGGTCATCTCTTCTAGGAATGCCGCCAGTAAGAAACAGGAGGTCATCCTGAGCTCCACCATCCACATGCAGTCCCGTCTGACACTGTCGTCACATGCATCCAGGGGGAGTCCATAAACATTTGTTCATCTCTACAGTGAGGTAAATGTAGGGTAGCATTGCTTTATGCATTATGGCCTCATCACCTAGCAAAACATCAATACGTAAAATAAGCAAATCAATGTTCAAGCCAAGTAGTGCCTGGTGGTGTTTAGGCGCTTGTCAAGAGGAAGACGCATGTGTGGCACTGCAGATCTCAAGAGGGAGGCAATGTTCGCCCACTAACCCTGCCTCTTTCCAAACCAATCATTAATGTCCCCATCAGAAAGCTTTTAACCAAGACTTCTGACAGCTTCCTCCAGGATACTATGGAATTAGACTGGGGACTGAAATGAGACAAGCAGGGAGGATAAGAAGGCTGCAGTTCCTTTTCATTGACACTATAGAGAAATAGTCTGGTTCAATGAAAAATATATATATGTATCTTGAATGGAGTTAATTTTGTCCTTTTCACTCAAAACTGAAATAGGGTTATTTTCTTAATGGCTTATGGCAACTTGCTTTCTACAGCAGCTCTTTAAATTGAGCTCATATGGTAATAATTTACTTCAGAACAGCTAGAGCAGTTAGAAAAAATACTGGATGAGGAATGAGAGGAGAAAGGTACTCGCTGGGGGAGCTAGCTGTTTTCCCTTTTTTTTTTTTTTTTTTTGATACTATTTATCACAACGGCACAATATCTCACTTCCAGATGTGGAAGATTCAAAGGAAGACTAACCAATCACACAGTAAACCAGAAATAATCTGAACTACTCCAAGCTACAAGATGTATTTCTTATGGGAAATGTGATTTGAATCAATGAGGTTTTTTAATTCACCTCAGGATGCACTTTGGGCCATACTGCCAGTGAAGGGAAAATTCCAGGCTATTTGATATTCTCTCCCAAGTGAGATGGGCATCATTATTACCTGATCACTGTTGTTATTTAACATTCAGCTGATATCCACAGGGGTTAGGCACTGTTCAGATTCCATTAAAGATAGCTCCTGTCTTCAACCTGTTTGCACCCTAGAATGACAAGAGAAAGAAACACTGGAAATGAAATCTATCTTAGAGACATGTTGTCATCTTTGCCAAGGATCCTTGACATGATTTGCATGCTTGGATGGGCATGGAAACTTCCACAGGGAATGAATTTCTCTCCCACAAGAGAGGTGATTCCAACACTCCAGCCATTACACAGGTGAGTACCAGAAGCCAGGCATGTAAGGCACTCTTACCCCCTAGGGTTATTGAAATTAGCAGTGACTAGAATCTTGAGTATGTTTCATTCACAGGGGAGGACACTTCTTTTTGTTCTGGCAGATAAAATGACCAGTAAGGCTGAGCGTTTTGTCAATAGATGTAGTTAAACAAGGCAATCTAATGAATAACCAAATGGTGGAGAGAGGAAAGATGGAGTGATGTGCCCTGGGTCACAAAGCCGTTTAGTAACTGAGGTGATCCAGGACTACATTTCAAAATAGCTACTCCCCCAGCTTCCAAGCTCCACTTCTCCACAGAAAATGCCTGCCAATACATACACTCTAAGTAAAAAAGAAACATTAAGATTAGAAAATATAGGAGTCCGGGAAAGAAGGTAGCATTTTGAAAGACTTCATCTACTTGTTTGTATTTCTGGTCTGTACCATTTGGAATGGTAGAGCTGTATTTGGTCTCTGAAGATTTTGAGGAAAATGAACAGTGTCTGTCCTGGTAACCTTTCCTCATTAAGTGTCAAAAGAAGTCTGAGACAGGTATCTCTAGATCTCATCTGATTAAAAATCCAGAGGAATTATCTCCATTTTATCTCATTAAATGTTCCAGAACAGAGTGCTCTGGAAGGAAAGGATTTTTAGAACATTCTTAATATGGATGAGTATTCTAGAAAAGTAGAAAAATAATTATGGGATATTTAACAGGCAAAGTTGGAGAGAGGGAGGCAACAAGGTTCTGTCTTGTTGCATAAAGTTCTGCAAAGTAATTCCAATTTGCAAAGTATCTCTAATCCAATTTTCTTTTGATATCTCAATATTTACTGAGGTCACTTTGGTTTCAAAAATCAAATAAAATTGATTTGATCCCATTTCACATGCTGTGGGAAATCCAGGACCTGACTAAGATTTTACTGAATTTCCATGCAGCTTTGGGTTCTCAGAGTCACATGAATCCATGTTGGCTGACAGCTCTTCAACACACTCATGTCATACTCTCAACGTCCACTTCCCTCTGCCTGCTGCTGACCTAGAGCAGAACACCTTGACTTCTCCAAAGTACTGTTCCCACAACACTGTATGGTATGTACTTTCAACCCTTCTTCAGAGCGAAAACTCTGCAAATAGTAAGATTGCATCAGACAAACATGACTGCATTTCAGCAATACCAATGGTGTGTCTTGACCACAGTGGCATTCCTCCTCAAGCCCACTGGACCCTCATGATGCTCGCCTTGCAAATTCATTTCACATTTATCCATCTACAAGGCTATTTCTGGGTCCTCAGTTCCCCTCCTTTTTTTTAACAGGTGAGTACCTGTTAAAGGTAAGTACCTGTTAAAGGTGAGTACCTGTTAAAGGAGGTATTAACAAGTATTAAGCTGTTAGCATATTTCCCAAGCACACAAAGAGCACACTAGGACTTTGTCTTCAACAGTTCCTAACATAATACATTTTTTTCTCTCCACCATACAATCTCTGATTACCAGTTGCCATGTAATTCAAATTTCTTACTTAACATAAGCATGATTCCTCCCTGCTTCCAGTCTCTTCCCCTTCTGATGTCATCTGAGGCTGGCAGATGTATACTCCCCATGCAGTCACATACTCCTCCCCCTCTGACACCTTCAGTCACTCCTCACTGCCACACACATTTGCACACACATTTTCAAAAGCTGATTTTCCAAAGAAAAATCTTGAATGGCATGAACAAGTGCCTCAATATATCACCACCTATAGTTGATCAAAAAATAAAGCTACAATTAACGCACCATTAAACAGGAGCTGTTAAGGTCAAGAAATCTAGTTATGTTTCCCATGCATAATAATAATTAATAACACAAGATATCTGTGGCACTTCATATGTTCAGAACATTTCACAGACATAGGCTAATTAATTACACAGATAAAGATATTGCAGGTCTTTCTTTTGATATCAGTGGGTTCATTAAATTCCCCATTTGGTTAACAAAGTAATTTCCTGTACTTCTGAATTCCTGAGTAGGGTGGAGGGAGAGGAGAGAGTAGCAGAAATGTCAAACAAGTGCTAGCCTTTGTCCTTCCCCCCCTTGGAAGGATCTGTAGGAAGTGTGTAAGGATCCTCATCTACCTTTCATCGCTCCTTCAACCTACCTCTACCTTAAAGACCATGGCTGCCAGTGACACTAATGCCTTGGATGGTCACACCTTGCCCAACAGGGTTACCACTACCAGCGACACTGGCTGAAGGCAGAGATCTTTCCCTTGGGGTAATGAACCCATGGTCTTCCTGAGACCACTCTAAGTGCCCTGGATATCAAAAAAACTTCAAGAAGATGCTTGGGTCAGGGTCCCAGGTCAGGTCAGGTCCAGACCTCATTCTACTCTTTTTCTCCCCTCAGTTAGCCTCCCTATACCAATGCAGACCTTGCTAGAACTTTAACATTTCTCTGTGAGTTCCCTTGGAAACTGTTTCCCTGAACATACGTCTTTGGACATCAAGTTCCACTGTGACCCACGAAACTAGGGCCTCTGACTCTCGTTGAGAGCTGGGCCCACAGAAGTCTAGTTTATGTATTAGGCTAGAACTAAAATATTGCACATTTCTAATGAAAACTGTTGGGGGTACAACCCAACATCACTGCCTGATTACTAAGCAGCGTATTAAGGACTATGTCATTTCCACGCAGAGCAACAAATGCACAAATGTGCCACAGGTAGGATCATCAAATGAACATCATGGGATTTAGCACCAACCTCTCTACAATCCTGAGAGACAAAATTATTTGGGGAAAAGACTAGACTCTGAGTCAACCAGCCCTGAATTCAAATCCTAAGTCTACCAAGATGAAAGCAATTAACAAAGTGCCTGGCATATAGTAACTGCTAAGTAGGGATATTTGTTCAGCTGCCCTTACTATACAGTAATCTGGACTATAATGATGGTCCCCACAGTCCTAGAGTAACACAAACTAGGACACCTTAAGATGAGAGAATTGAGAATTGTTTTTCTTTAATGTACATGGGGTTCAGGAAAAGATTTCCACAAGGACGTCTAAGCTCCAAAATTTCAAAATCAACCCTAATTGCTTACATCAAGTTACTTTTTCCCAGCACAGATCCACAGTCCAACACTTGGTCCTTTGATAGTCTAAGAACCTAGAATCAAATATTTGGGCAGCCCCTTCCAAACTTCATTCTGGTTCCAGAGAAGGGAGAAAGGAATAGTCTTTAATATTATCCCTGTGTTCTTGACTATAAAATTGGATTCAATGTCTGTTTATCAATTGGCAGGAAAGGGAGAGAGGGAGGCATCACACTCTTTTGTAAAGGAACAACTCTCCAAGAATTTCTGGGGCTGGAAGCAAAGTCTGAAATTTCTCTTTCCTTTATAGGTCTACTGAAAGTTACAAGTAAATGCAGTAGATCTTTATGTTAACATACACACTACCCTCAACACTGTAATTGCCTTATGAAATAAGGTGGGTTTTTTTAAAGTCTACTTTTAGATGAAGCACTTTTTTTCTTACTTTCACAATTGGGACAACTCCAGCTTAGAAAGGTGAATGACACAAAAAAGAATTCGCATCAGATCTTAAGGCTAAAAGTTGAGCCCTTAACTAGACTATAAGAAAATGGAAGTTCTTTTTGTCCTCTTCCCTCCAACAGAAAGAGTTTTTCTGACCTGGAAAATCTGTGATAAGGGTGCTAAGAATTGTCTGCATTAATACAAGAAAGAAATGAAGCCAGAACCTTGAGTGAGACTATGGATGGGCACATCAGGTACCGCTGAAAAAAGTTCTTTCCCCGGGGCCTCCCCGGTGGTGCAGCAGTTGAGCACTGGGTTGCGAAGCTGCCCGCGGCCTCTGTGGCACCGGTTCGATCCCCGGCTGCTCCCCGGCCACCAGAGGAGGGTCCCTCATGGCGCGCAGACCTCTCCTGCTGCCCGCTGCTCCCCTCAGCAGTGTACTTCATCAGTCTGCCTGCTCTACTCTCCGCTCTGACTCTGGTGAATTCTCTCACCCTCCCGCGCTTCTGACTGTACCCAGTGCTTGTATCAAATAGATAAATAAATCTTAAAAAAAATATATTATAAAAAAAAAGTTCTTTCCCCATTTGAGTCCTGAGCTTCCTGAGAGAACTTAACCACCATAGCAGAGGAGCTGGTGGCAGAAACGAAGTTCACCACCCTGTTTCTTTTCTTCTAAAGAAGCAGCTAGACTACAATTCCCAGCTTCCTCTCTAGCAAAATGGGGCCATGTGGACAGACATTATATATGCAATCTTCAGACCTGCTCTCAGGACTTCTCAACATTCTCCATGTCAGATGCAGAAAATCGGTGGAGGTTTCTGATCACCCAAAGAATGGAAGCATTCCTAGTTCCTAAATGACTCCATGAAGTGGAGCATTACCCTCCACTGTATACATTGGTCTATGGCTGGATGAGGATAAAACTATAGCGTGTTAAGACAAGGACATCTGGGGGTCATGCGTTACAGCACCTGGCATATCCTAATGCAGACCTTCATATGTAATTTCAGTACTTAGGCAGATGCTTTGACCTCTCTAGCCCCTCTTCCCGAGGGTTCCCTCTAGTGAACCCTTGTTGTCTTTCCACTGCTCATTAGCAGCTCTATCTCAGCCTGCACTGAGAAAATTAAAAAAGATAAAATTTAAATCACTCTATTGTTTCCTTGTTAGCAACCCTGGTCTCAAAGGAGGAAAAAAATAAAAGTTCAATGGAATCAGAGATGAGGTCAAAATTATTGCTGAAGATGAAGTTTGAAAATCATCTGTGGGCTTCAATTTTCTGAGCTCTCTTCCTTTCATTAATCA